TATGAACGTTTGACCGCAGCCATTGCTCCGAGCATTTATGAGAATGAGGATGTAAAAAAAGGAATTGTTCTTCAAGTAAATTTATTCTACCTAAATCTTTTTTTAGAAACTACAATACTTTCATTTTTCCCTTCAGCCTATATTTCCACTCCGTAAAATTAAAATCATTTCAATCTTCCTCTTATACTAACTCAGCTATTTGGCGGTACAGTGAAGGATTTTTCTTCTAAGGGTAGAAGCAATTTCCGATCGGAGATAAATATTCTTCTCTGCGGTGACCCTGGGACCTCAAAGTCTCAACTACTTACATACGTTCATAAACTTGCTCCACGTGGTCAATATACTTCTGGCAAAGGTAGTTCAGCTGTCGGTCTTACAGCGTTCGTGACAAAAGATCCAGAGACGCGGCAACTTACTCTGCAGACCGGTGCCCTTGGTAAGCTTGCTCGAAATGCTACTATATATATATATATATATATATATTGATCTAATTAGAATATGTATAGCGAAAGCAATTATCCGAATTTTATTTGAGAATCTGTTGTATACATGGTATGCTTTACTAAAATGCCCTAATTAAAAATCTAAAAAATTCGGTTCAGCTCTTTTTTAGCAAAGTCGACTTAGTTATACACATGGACACAAGTTTGACAAGAACTTGTTATTACATGAGCAGTACTTCTTATGCATATGTATGAAGGCAGATCAGGCTTCTATAGCTGAAAATACTAATATACCTACATACATTCTGATAGTAGTATTTTGAAGTAATCATTGCCCCGAGTCAGCATCACTCCTTATATTATTCCCTACAGTCATAAATGCCTGAACAAAAGTGTAAAAGTTATCTCCTTATTTGGTGTGGGAGGAAGATTAAACACTATGCTTTTCATCTGACTTGTTATATGGGTATTCTCCCAAGCTTTCCAAGATTATATCAGTAGTCTATTTTTCACTGTTGAAATCAAACCTCGACTTTAAATAATTCAAAGTAGCTTGGTTCCGCTATATTCCATTGTCAATTTGCCCTTACTTTCTCATTTTCAAAGTGCTTGCCGACAATGGAATCTGCTGTATTGATGAGTTTGACAAGATGAGCGACTCCACTCGTTCTGTCCTACATGAGGTTATGGAACAACAGACGTTGAGCATAGCCAAGGCTGGTATCCTTTGTCAGCTAAATGCACGCACCAGCATATTAGCTGCCGCAAACCCAGTTGGTTCGAAATGGGATGCTAATAAGACGATCATAGAAAACATTCAGGTAAACGAATCCTAAGCTGAGTTATTTTGTATGACCCGTTCAGGCTTGAAAGCTGTTTATCCCATCATTTTATGACCTTCATTTTTT